TTTTTTTTTTTTTTTTTTTTTTTTGAAAAAAAACAGCTTCAATAATAAATATTACAAATAGGAAAATTAAAAAACTACAAGAAATTTTTTTTTTCTTTTTGATAAAAATATTACAAAAAAAAATGTATAATGTGTTAAATCCGATTATATACTAAATTAAAAAGTTTACATTTGACTTTTTAATAAATTCTCAATAATTTTTTCAAAATTATCATCTTGTTTTTCCAATTCAGCTTTCACCAATTCAGCTTTCACCAATTCATCCTCGAAACCCATACTTTTAAGTATTTTAAATCTCTCTTTATAAACGATCTCATCAGTTGTTCCTTCTAATGTTTCTTCTGTATCTGGTGTTTCCCCCTCGTCTAGTATTTTTTCTCTTTGTTCGTGATTATCATAACTATCATCATAGTGATGATGATGATGATTACCATGGAATCGACGTCCATGATGTCCATGATTTCCATGATATCGGCCTCGGCCGCCTCTTGGTGGCCGAGCCGCCCAAGGAACTGGAGTAGATTGTGGTGGTTTTGGAAAAGCTCCAGGAATTGGCGGTGGTGTGAGAGAGCGAAATTCAGAAGTTGGAAACACATTAAAACTATGTCTTGTACATCCAGGAATTGGTGGTGTGATAGGACGGTTTAGGAAATTTTTATTACGCTTACGTGACTTCATGATCGGTTCACGAAAAGAATCTAACTGTCGGATTTGATCCATGATATCCTTAATACTTGCGATAAGCTGAGGATTCTCTTTAATAGCATCTTGATTTTGTTCAATAATCATTTGAAATTGTTGAAGATCAACTGCAGAATCTTCTTGTGGTTGATCTTGTTCCGAGGGAGTACTTTCAATTGTTTCAATTGCTTCAATTTCATTTATAGGTTTAGTCAATTTAAGTGAATTGAGTGATTCGAAGAATTCATCGTCCAATAGATTTACTTGACGTGTTTTTTCCTTTTCATCTTCTTTCTCGGAGTTTTCATCCGTTTTATTTGATGTTTCGTTTTCAGTTAAATCACGTGAATCGATCTCAATAAACTGCGGCTCTTGAAGCTCTTGATTAGTGGAACTAACTATATTCTTTTGTGAAACATTCTCTTGTAAACCAGAAATATCAGTCGTGGCAGAAGCAGCTTCTTTACTTGGAAGAATATTTCTACCTTCAAGCACCCAAACTTCATTACCAGAGTCTTCACTATCACTTGAATCATCAGAAGTTGAAAATTTCAAATCAAATTTGACGGTTGGGGCGGAAGAAAAAATTTCTTGAAGTTCTAAATCAGTTGAAAGTGTAATAACATCATTATCCTCGTCAGTATATGAAAGCGTGAAAGGAGACAATGCAGGAATATTGAAGAGAGTGCGAAGTTTTGCTTCTAACTCAATCCAAGTAGCGTTAGAAGGAAGAGTAAACCGTCGAACAGCTTTTTTATGGATTACTTTGATGTTAACCATTTTTTATTATATAAAAAATTGTTTTTGTCGAGAGAGGAAAATAATACAGTGAGAAAATTGGTACCAAAGAAATAACCCATATTTATACAATTTTATATTGTGTTGTTGTTATACAAACCGGTATTGCCCTTTTATTTATTAGAATGGACATATTTCATAATTCGAATTTGAACACGTAACCACATTCATCATCATTTATGATTGTATGGAGTTTGATTGATACATTGCCGAAATGTCCGATAATTTCTATACAGAAAAGTTCAAATGTGGCTTACTGCGCAGTATACACATTTCTGAAAATGGTAACGCCGATGAAGTGGCGTTTCTGTAGTCTTGGCTCGTCACTCTCGTGATCCAACCAATCCCGATAGTAACAGAATATATATCTGATATCTACGTAATTTCCTGTTTTTTAAACATCTCGGTCTTCTGAAAATTGCGTAAAATTTCACTCAACAGAGTAATACGAAGAACTTATTTTTTGGTACTGAGTACAAAACAGCTTGTATGTACTATATAAATTCTGAAATTGGAGCGTGTTCATGTATTGTTGATGCGTACCAAAAAGTTGTCTTAAATATTTCTTAAATATTTCTTATTACTAAACTAAATTCTATTCCTCCGTTGACTTGTATTACTAATGCTTATACAATATATAACACCCGGTAAGTAAAGTGTCAATTACTCATTACATTTATCAAATTAAGCGAGTAAAGTTTCGAGATTACAAACGATATTATCTTTAGGTTATGTTAATGAAGGTATCATTACGTATTTCAAGGTCAAAAGTATTTATACTTCGTTTACAAGTAGGAGTGAGTTTTTTTTTATCTTGTTCGCTGATTTCAATGTGTAGAACCAATTGAGACATTTTTACGACTTTTCGATAAATCAATATACAAACTGAAAATCTTGGATAGATAACCAAGCGAAAAAGAACGAAGAAGTTGATATTAATATGTTGCTAGAAGAATCAAATCCGACTATCAAAATGCTAATACAATGCTATAACGCGGCAAAATCAAAACTTTTACGATCTAAATCGTGACCAAGATTCTATATTAATGTTAAAAAAGTGGTACACACGCAGGTTGAAGCTAAAATATCTCACCATACTATTTCCGGCAGAATTATATTTGTTATTCTTATTAGCGAAATCTAGTATTTATCAATTTCTACGGCGTAAAATGAAAAAAGGTGATGCTGAGCGCGTTCCTACAAGTGAGGGAAAAGAAATTTGGATCATAATGTTTCCTCGCCCGAAAAAAGAAACAAGGCCAAATTAATATGTCAGTCCTTTTCTCCTATAACATTTATAGTGATACCATAACGAGATTATAGCGTTTTATTTATCAAAAACTCGATCTATTGGAATCTGAAATTAATGATTTGCGGATTTAATGAATTTTATTGATTTTTTTTTATTTGTACATTTTTTTATAAATGGACAATAAGTAGAGTTCTTGTTCGAATAAATTCGGGTTTTACGCGTTTTGATTCACCGTTAGTCAAAAAAAATACTGTGGTACAGTTGCTCGTATCGTAAGTATATTGCTAAAAAAGTGTCAGGGGTAATTACGTTCTTCACGTGATGTCAGACGAGTTCTTTAAATGTAAAAAAAAAATGCGTGGTGTCAATTAAATTCTTTTTTTACCAATTTTGAAACTATTAAGCCGTATTAAATTATGAGAAAATATTTTACCAAAATTACACTTACCATAGGTTAATAACACCGAAGTTTTGAAATTTATTTTAAAAAAAAAAAATTATTTTTTTAAAAATTAAAAACCTTTAAAGGCAATAAAAATACATACTTCTTTATTATAATCTCCTTAAAGGTTTTTTTTCTCTGTTCCGAGAACTTAGGAGTTTTATTTGGATTAAAAACACAGTTTCAAAATTAAGCGTTTTCTTTCTTTTTTTTCTTTATTTGAAACGTTATTTGTACACGTGGGACCATAGATGTATTAATAATTTTTAATTTTGTGTACAAAATTTGGCCAATAAATAATTAATTAATTTCAGCCAAAGGATCTTCCGCAGTTAAATAAATAGCATAACCGGATTCGGTCGGATCAGATTCGACCTTTCTGATACCGAATTCAGTAATGAAAATTGCCCTCGTAAGCTAGGTGGGTAAACGACGACCTCTTTATGAATGGATAATTTTTAAGCATAACACTATTTAACAAATAAATTTACCGATAAACTACTCGATAGACTATTTTTATTAACATTTTTCAAACCCGGATTAAATTGTACCACTAAAAAAAATTCATGCAATAAATAAATTGGAATTATTTTTTCCTAAAAAATTTTCCATTTTATCTTTAAATAAAAGCATCCCTTTTCAATAAAATATTCGGGGACCTCAAAACGAAAAAAAAAAAAAATTTCCTATAAAAGGTAGAAACGTACAAAAAAAGGATCATATTCATCATGTCTTCTAAAAATAATAACATTGATATCAGTGAAAATTTAAAACGAAGTAGTGAACGTACAATCATTTTAAATGTTGGAGGAATCAAGGTAAACAATCAAAAAAAGTAAATTAAAAGTTTATTTATTCATTTATTTATTAATTGTATTTACTTTATATTGAATGTTAATCTAACATTATAACTTTTTATATTAATTTATGATTAGTATGAAACATATGCTTCAACTTTAACAGAATATCCAGATACATTATTGGGAACAATTTTTCAAGATAAAAATCGAGCAATGCTTCATCCACAAACTGGTAATATATATTTTTTTGATAGAAATGGGTATGCATTTCGATATATAATGGAATTTTATCGTACTGGTAAATTATTATTAAGTGAACGTGATAAAGATAAAGTTACTTTTGTAACTCTTGATGAAATTGAAAAGGAAATTGAATATTTTCGCATTCCTGTAACTGAAGGTAGTGATAATGATGAATATGATGATGATGATTTAATGCTTGATAGTCAATCAAACGACAAAAAAAAAAAAAATCACAATAATCCTGCTCCTGCTTCTGTTTTAATACATAAATATGCCGGAGCTAAAGTTGATCAATTTATTAATGCTTTAGAAGAATTAATTTATGAGGCCATGGGATGTTTTGAAGAGCGAATTGAATTGAAATTTTTTTCAAATACTTCTGATGTTGAAGCTTACTGGAAAGAAATTGAACCTGCTTTAAAATTCTATTATATCATGAAACCATATGGTGTAATAGGTTATTGTATTCTAGATAAATTTTCTAAAGAAATTCAATTGTATTTCGAATCTACAATGCAAAGTATTTCTTTTCAATCTATCCAAGTTATTGATGAGCTTACTCCCACAGGGAATTACGGAAATTATTATAAAATATCTATCAACATTAAAGATCGTTATGATAAAGAAGATATTATAATACATACTAGATTAGCTAATTATAGAGTCAGTTAGATGTTGTCTTTTTTTATTAGATAGTTAATATAAAACACAAACATTTATTATTGTATATTAATCAATCAAAGTTCATCATTTAAAGTGTGTCATGACATTTATAACATTTATGACTTTTTTTGTTCATTTAAAAAAGATATTTATTAAAGTAATCAATTATACTAATAGCATGTAAGTATAAATTTATTATTAATTATATTATAGTAAAAAAATCTTATTATGATTATCAACCTATTTATATACAAAACAAAAATACAAAATTGGCAATTCTTTTCCTCCGTTGTATAATTTGACCGGTTGATTTGCAAAATATTTTGTAATTAAACCGTAATAATACATGTACACAGCATATTTGTATATGTAATGATGAGTTTGTGACTGATTATATAATAATCATTTATGGTTATAATTATAAAATAACTATAATATAAATATAAATAAGTTAGTAATAAATTTTGTAATTATTTAACTATGTATTAATACCTATAAAATACTTTTTACAAATAAAAAAGTCTTACCATTTAAAAACTAATAACCTTATATTTAATTTCTTTATATTTCAGATAACTCTCATATCTCCTTTTTCTTTATTATTCTCATTAGTCATCTTTGCTGTTTTTGCTCCAAATTGTATAGCTCTTTTCCATAAAAAACTTGCATTAAATAGTCCCAATTGTCTTGCTACATGGCGTAGTAAAAGCTTTTCCCCAATCCCTCTTTCATATCTCATATCTGCTTTAATATACATAGGTAATGAACACAAAAAGGATACAACATTTGATGCAAGATAAGGGAACCTTGATTCCTTAGAATGAGATGATATTATCCTATCATCACGACCTAATAATAATCAAAATAACAATTAAATAAGTTAATGCTATTAAAATTTTATTAATTATGCATTATTTACCTAAATTCCTAGTTGAAATCCTATCAACATCTAATTGAATCTAATAGAACATTTATTTTATAAAAAAGAACCTTATTTAGCTTATTTTAAAGTAATTAAAAGATAAATAAATGTTTGGTTTTACCTCTTCAATTAACTTTTTCCATCCATGTTGTTTAAATGCTTCACGATGTCTTGAATATCCTCCTAATAACTCATCAGCTCCTACTCCAACAAGTATAACTCTAGCTTTACTTTCATAATCAATCATTATCTAAAAGAAGAAAAGAATAAATCAATAAAGCTTTTATTTCATATTTAAACAAATATTAATAATTAATAACCTCCGAATCATCTAAACTAGTAACTTGACCTACAAAAAAAAAAAAAAATGACGTAATCATATTAAAATCTTATTTAATTATTCAAATAAGTTTATAATACAAACCCTTTCCACGAACTGCAAACCAAAAAGCCATTGCTATACTCTATTATCAAAAAAATAAGTAACATATAATCTTTATTTATTTTTGTTTTTCTTTTTTCTTTTAACTTACCAAATCCATGATTGTATCTGATGGTGCCATTAATTCTATTATTTTAGGTTTAAAGGTGCAAGCCTCTTCAAATGGAACATTCACTTCCACAAAATTCCATTTACGATTAGGAGCTATTTTTCTATTTATATTTAAATAATTAATAATTTTATTTAAAAAAAAAAGATTTTATTATTCATACCTTAATTCTTCAACTCCTTGTCTTCCGGTTAATCTATCTGGAACGTCATAAATAGAATTATCTTTATAAGAAATATTTGTCTTTTTATTCTTTTTTATTTGCTGAATTCTAGGATTTTCAAATCCTACATTTAGTAGATCTATTGCTTCTTCTTTTGGAATATATCTATCTGCTAAAGCAGCAAGACAAATACAATCTAATCCTCCAGAAAACATAATAGCTACTCTAGCATCTTGTATTGATCTAAATAACATAAAAAATATAATAACATAATAAATATTAAATCGAAAAATCTTTGAAAAATAAAGCTGTAAAGTTAATCATTTACCCTACACGTGGAATATCTATAATACGTCGTCTTACAGAATCTCCTAATTCTTCAATTAGCCTATCTATAGCATCTTGAATTTTAAGTGATATGGCTGGAATATAAGAATTTGATAAATCTGATGAAGCTGGTAACTGGGGTAAATCTTCGGGATTTGGAAGAGTGTCATTTACTTTACCAAAAGGCAAAGTCTAACAATTCGAAATAAGGTTGGTCAATTTTCGTATTAAATGATAAATTTAGCCAAATTAAAGAATAATAGATTCCTTGCCAGTATAAATGATGAATCATTATTAAATGGACTATTTCCTCCATGCCATTTGTAATGTACCAAGAAATTATTAAATGGTTCTTTAGTTATAAGAATAGAGAAGGTATGATGAGTCAATTACATTATATATATAATAAATTAAAATATTTTTTTTTTAAAAAAAAACAAATATAAATACCCCATGAGGTCGATGACAACATTTTATCCAAATCTAAATAGAATATGCCATTGGCTGAGACTTCGGCAAAATAAGGTGATTTTGACATTTGTGAAATTTTACACCCCACAGATGTTAAAATAAAATTGTCTTCCTCAGAATGTAAATTCCAAAGTAAAGATCGTCTCCCTAAACAATCTCGTCCAAACCATAATCTACGTTTTGAGCTCTACGTCCAAAAATAATTATTTTATAATTTAAATAGGGAAGAATCGAGGACAAACAAAAGGCAAACACAATATTAACCTGCCAGTATATAATTGCATACGGTCCCTCAATACTTTGAAGGATATGAAGTATTCTATTCTTTTCTTCATTATCATTCTCAATATTATGGCTCATTTTCAAAGCAGCGAAGAGATATTTTGTATCGTTTTCTCCGGGAGGAATCTAATAATCAGATTTAGATCGGATAATTTAAAGCTTATTTGTAACGAGTCGTAAATCTATAAGCGTTTTGCAATAAAAGTATGTGACATATAGAGACATGTGATATTAGATCGTGCGAAACAACATTAACCCAACATATAACTATATATTAAAATGCGTTCTTTGAATCGAAATACATACGGATTTATTTAGATGATCACACCTTTCTATTGCAAAGAGCCAGAATTTATCTTACCTCAACTCCATTAAATATCTCTCCGTTCCATAGTAACACGTCTTCTTCATCGTTATCAGTTAAAGGTTGCTTAACAATAGAAGGCCCTCGTAAATGTAAAACTGCGCCAAAAAATGTTAAATAGACCGTATATAAAGAGGAAGACTGTGATTGGATTGATTTAAACAATTCCCCTTGACTGTCCGGTCCTATGATAAAAACGCATACATCAAATACGTAGGAGTTAAAAGGACGATGTTATCAATCAATCTATAAGCAATTATTAAATTTACCACGCTGATTATTTAGAATCATCAATTGATTCCACAATTCCTTGTGAAATGAATCATTTGTGAAGGATTTTTTTAATTGTAATCGAAATAATATACCACACATCTTATATATAAAAATTTAATGATAAACAAATGTTATTGCAATAAAGATTCAAATTTGAAAAGAAAGTGGATAAAAAGTTATGTATGATTTATTTATAATTTAAATTGGATAATCATCATTATACATAAAAATGAATTCCGAAAGTTGAAAAGGGGATTAACCATATCAAAAAAAAACTTAGAATTTATTTAATTATTGAAAGCTGCATGCGCCACGATTTACGTTTGACACATTTTTCCCGCCATTGTTGCATATCATATGATTATATGATTGATATTTCTGAATGACCATTATAATCATTTACGAGCATGCAGCGTAACCATAATGCAAGAAATTACGTACTCAGGTATATAAAGATATATAAAGCATATTAAAACGGAAAATTCTTCCGCGTTTCAAATTTTTTTTTTTTTTAATTATTTTTACAAATTTGTTGATTTGTGATTGATTCATATTTATTATTATTAATCCTTTTTTTAGTTTGTATAAGATGAGTATACCCGAAAATGCTTCAAAACTTAGTCCGGATGAAATTTATGATAGACTAAAGGGTTGCATTTTTGGTATGTTATTTTATAAACTATTATTATAACGCATAATTCATTATCATTAATTAATTGATATACCCTATAAATAAAGGTGCTGCACTTGGCGACGCCGTAGGTTTAGCCACTGAGTTTTTATCAAAAAGTAAAGCCAGAGAATTATATGGTATCGGGCCAATATCATTTGGATCAGATAAAGGGTATGAATTTCACAGAGATTATCACCGAAGAAGATGGGATGATGGTGATTGGACTGATGATACAGGTATATATTCTTTGTAATATCTTACTTATAAAATAATTATTATTATTAATATTTGAACAACTTTAGATCAACAACTTCTTATAATTGATTCATTAATTGCAACAAATGGGTTATTCAATTCTCGTGATTTCGCGCATCGATTAAGTAAATGGGTTAATAAAGGATATCCAGAACTTAATAACAAACCACCTTTTGGTATAGGTAGGGAAAGGTTTGATTTCATAAAAATAATGTATTCGAAATGAAAATTTTCATATTTACTAAATTTTATTAAAGGGAAAACTGTTGGAACCGTTTTGAGTCATTCCAAGTTTGAAGCTAAACCTCATCGTGCATCATGGGAAGTTTGGGTTCGATTTAATCGTAATATGGCTGCCAATGGTGCACTAATGCGAACTGCTGTATTAGGTGCACCATTCTTTTGGGATGAGAAACAAGTGATAAAACAAACCTTACAGGCAACGAAAGTTACTCACGCTGATCCAAGATGTTGTGTATCAAGTTTAATTGTAACAAATTTAATTTCAAGATTATTAAAAGATAATACACAAGATATCTTACCTGACCTAGATGATGAAACAAAAAAGGAGATATTAAAATGGACACAATCTGGAAATCCGGATAATCAATCGGATTTGGATATTGATTCAGAGGATCCTCCATCTGTGATTAAATCGCGTCACGTAAAAAAGAAAAGTATTATTGGTAAAATAATCAATAAAGTTAGTTCAAAAGGAAATAATAGTGAGACTAATTACATAATAAGGAGAAATAGTGATAAACTAAAACAAAATAATCCCCGTGAAGTTGTCAAAATTCCTGAAAATCCACCTCCTGGAATTGATACGTTTGGAGCTGATCCTGTTATGTCTGCATTTGTTCGCTCCGTTGTGGAACGTTATAAATTTATTACTAATTCAGTTTCAGTTGAACAACAACCCGAGAAGTCACTTACAAATTTTCAAGTTGATATTGGTGAAGAAGCTCTTTTAAAATATTGTTTTCCTGACAATTTAGCATCTCTTGAATTAGATGAAGGTTCTTCAATTGGATATGTTTATAAGTGTCTTGGATCAGCATTATACTGTTTTACAAGAAATTTGAATCAACAACCAAGTGAGGGCGAGGCTTTTAAGACAATTATAACTGAATTGACTTTGGAAGCTGGGTAAGAATTGGGACTTTAATTTAAATAAAGTTAATAATTTTAATTAACTAACTAACTTCATAAATGATCTAGTGACTCTGATACAAATGGTGCTGTCGCTGGAGCTTTGTTGGGCGCTAGAATTGGATATGAAAAATTACCAAAATCTTGGGTAGATGGATTAAAGTTTAAGTCATGGTTAGAAGATAGGGTTAATAGTCTTTGGACTGTAGTTTCTGGCAAAGAAGATTGGGTCGAAGTCGATGATTCATATAAATCTATTGATGTTTCGCAAGGTTTAAAAAAAAAATGAACATGGTATAATATAATAGTAAATTCACAAAGTGTAATATATTATATTATATACTTCACAGTTTATATTAATTTAAGTACTTAGTTTACATTAAATTTTTTTTCTTTTAAATAAAAATATTTTAAACTATGGTATATTGATATAAAAGTTTTAAAAGTGATTATTAGAATAAAATTAATTTCTATGAATTTAATGATCTTCTGTTCAACGCTCTTTGCCTTGCAGCTTCAATATTTTCTAATTTCTTTCTCTTCTTCTCTTCTTCTTCCATTACATAACGTTCGATTCTATCCGATTCTATAACTACACTTTCATCATCACTATTACTTTTATCGTTTTGTTTTTCACCACTCTCATTATTCAAATTTACAGTTTCTAATTTCTTAAACAATTTAATTTTTTCTTCTACCCATTCAAAATTAACTTTGCTAACAACTTTCATTAAAGCCTTACTAGTATATAATACTGAGTGATACATCACCCAATCCAGATTATTAATTTTAACAATTTTATTATCAGGATGTAATGCTGATGTAGGTGAGATATGTAAAGCCAGTAATGAATTATTAGAATCCACAATTTCATTAGTATGAACTTTAGCTGAGGCATAATGATAAAATACCGGTCTATGTGGATGCCTTTTTGCTAAGTGAATATAATATGATGTAGAAAATGATTCCAAGATTTTTGAGACATCATACTTTCTTGCCTTTGTCTCATAATATGATCTTTTACTACGCTTTTTTCTATGGATATCTTCGCCGTCTTCTCGATTCTCTTTCTGTCTACATGAAATTATTGGAATTTCATGTTTTTGCATTAATTCACGTAATTGATCTCGAACACTTTTGGCCATAGATAAAGCCCGATGATTAAAATATTTATCTCTACACCAATCTTTATCATATCCACTATCACGATATCCTTCAAAAATGTTTAGTAATGTAATGTAATCACCTGAAGGATGATAAAATTCTTTTCTCTTTTCATTCACTTCAAATAATTTTTCTTCATTTCTTGGTGAGAAAAATACTTCTTCTACCGATAACATAGCTACAATTGTTGAAACTTCTTTACTACATTCAAATTGTCTTGCACTTGCTACCAAGACTCTTGATAAAAATGGATTTAAAGGAAATATACACATTTCATCTCCTAATGGCGTTAATTTTCCATTTTCATCGATTGCCTCCAATAAAAAGAGTTGTTTTAATGCATTCATAACAAGAATGTGATCTGGCGGATCAATAAATTCAAACCGAATAATATCTTTAATTCCCATTTTCTTTAAGCTCAGTACCGTACCAAGCAAACTACTTCTTTGAATTTCTGGTACCGTCTCTTCTTCCATTTGTTCAAATGATTCTCTACTATATAATCTAAATGCCTTCCCTGGAGCAGTCCTTCCTGCACGACCCGCTCTTTGTGTTGCTGCAGCTTTTGATATTGGCACAACTAAAAGAGCATCCATCCCTGTGCTTGGGTCATATGTTTTCTGTTTAACAAATCCAGTGTCTATGACATACCTATAATGAAATATAGGAAGTGTTAATATCATAATTAATTGATTTTTGTTTTTTTAAAGAAAAGATAATAAAAACAATAAAATTATATGTACTTAATTCCGGGTATCGTAACTGATGTCTAAAAACAATGAAAACTTTTGAGTATTATTAAATCCATAGTAACTTTTTCAATTTATAAGTTAATAATTTTACCTGAGCAATATTCGTTGCAAAAACAACTTTCCTAGTACCTCTAGGAGGATCTTCAAAGATAGCTTTTTGTTCCATGGTTTCCAGCGTAGCATGAATAGGATAAATAACCAAATCCTTGATTTCATTATAATATTTTACATCCTTTCTATAATTTAATTCTCTTGCTCGATCATCAAGATCAAGACACGCTTTCTCTATCTCATATTGTCCTGTTAAAAAAACTAAAATGTCACCGGGTGGTTCTTGAGTATGAATGTATAATGCTGTATCAACGGCTCTTTGAACATATGTTGATTTTAGACTAGAAATTTTTGCATCTCTATGATGATTTATTGCTACATCATACGTTCTACCGGGAATAATAAAAATTGGACATTCATTAAAAAAATCCGAAAATTTTTCAACATTTAAGGTGGCAGACATTATTAGGATTTTTAATTCTGGGCGTAAACGATATGTTTCTTTTAACAACCCAAATAATACATCAGTTTCTAATGTCCTTTCATGAGCTAATTTAAATTATTTTTAAAGAAATTAAATTATTAAATTATAGAAATTGAAGTCAAATAAAGATTATCGTTAAATATTAGACTAACCTTCGTCTATAATAATTATGTCATAATGTTCTAACCTAGGATCAAGTGTTGCTTCCCGTAATAAAACACCATCTGTCATATATTTCAATCTAGTCCTTGATGAAGTACAATCATCGAATCGAATACAATATCCTACTTCATCTCCAATTCTTGTGCCATGTTCTTCAGATACTCGATTGGCAACAGTAATCGCTGCAATACGTCTAAATGAATAGATCATCATTTAGTAACCTTTTTTTTTTTGTTTTTTAATAAATAAAACGGAATTAACAAATATTAAGTAGATTTACCTTGGTTGAGTTACTCCTATTAATCTACAATCTTCAAAACTCTCCAAAATATATTGAGGAATTTGTGTTGTTTTACCGGATCCTTTATATTATATCGTTAAATAATTAAAAATAATATAATAACAAACATAATAGTGGTAATTTTTCGAATAATTACCAGTTTCTCCAATTATAACGAGTAGATTCTGACTTTTTATTGCATCAATAATTTTTTGTCGAAATTGAAAAATCGGTAGGGATTCTCTTTGTTTAATAATCCTTTGACTAACCATTTTTATCTTATGCAAATTAAATCATAAAGAAAAATAAAAGAAGTTGTTAGAAAGGCAAATTAAATCTTACTTGAATATTTGAATAAAAAGAGGGAAGAGTAATTACCTCCAATTTCTGCTTTTGATCTCGTGGTGAATATCTCTAAATATAATCATGTGACTTATGACGTAATTTAAAATCGTTAGAATTTTAAGTAAGGCCTTGTGAACGAAGTTGCTATCACATCTCTCGAACCTTTCACCAAGTCCGATATAATCAAGATGGGATAAGTTCACTGGCACATGAAGAGCCATTTTATATGAGTGAACCCATAGAGGGCTTCCTTTAATAGTTGAGACTTGACTCATTTTACATATAAATGCCTCAAGCACTCCCTAGGGACATATGTACCCATCAATGCCTAATGTGTTTCGACTCTACACTTTGAAACATGAATCAACTTCAACATTATGTACATATGTATTACTTTCTAACACAGTTACACCAAGGGTACTCACGTGACCATTAATGCTGCGTTCTTGGCACGTTAAACTGTTAAAGAGGTCGAGTTCCAAGGGATCTGGATTCTAGACTTACTTTTTATGTTTTATAACATGTTGTTGTGTTTAGCATCAAAATAAATAAAATATAAAAAAAATAATATGAAACACAAAAAACAATTACGAATCAGGGTTCAAGGGTTATCGAGTCACTATCAGAGGAAAACAATGAATTTATTCACGCACCTATTAATTATCGTAACATTGAATTCTTGGCTAAATTTAATTTTCGTGCTTCCAATTGATTATGAATGTTAATTTATTAAGGTGGTCTTGTATTTTTAAAAAATCTATCGAAATAATTGAGAATTATAGAGAGAGGGAACAAATGAAAAGGAAGGAATCGAAAAAGAATCTTCCTTATGAATGATGACATCGTAAATAATAATAAATAATGCAGTGTAGCATTATATAATTATTTTTTTTAATTAAAAAAAAAATCGGATTAATATTAAAATCGATAATTAATTTTGTTTATCCTCGTCGGGCAAGAAAGGCAAGAAAAGAAAAAAAAAAAAGAACGAAATTATAAATTCCTGATAATCTGATAATTCTGATAATTGCAATTTTCTCAAATATTTTAAAATTAAGAGCCGACGAAAATCTTGAGTTTCGAAATTTAACGAGAGATAGTTCCTATTTAAGTGATTCATTCAATTAATTAATATAAATAAAAAAAAAAAATTTATTCCGATATGTGATAATATTATAATTGTTTTAATCTACAATTCGGTTATCAATGGGGGTAAATTAAAAATCGGATGAGAAAGAATTTTCTTAATACGGTTTAGAATTATACCAAAAAGATATTCACGATACATCTGTAAGTCATCCTATAAAAAAAGGTTTAGTATATGCTAATTCAAGAAATAACAAATACACACGTGCTTTAAGGATTTAATTAAAAAGTTACACAATAATGACTTTCCCCGCTCGCGACGTGTTCATGCAATGCTCAAAATAAAAATCAGATGTATAGTTCAAACTCACAGTAAAACTGACAATCATACAATTTCTTTATTTCTAATTTCCAGATAATAAATTTTTTTTTGCATATTTAATCAATTTTATAGATAACGCACGTTCTCAGTTGTGTAATATTTGTGTAATACAAACAAATGTAGTATAACAAATATATTATTTGAATAGAATTGTAATTAAATCCGAAAAAATCACATAATAAATAATATAATAAATGCAAATCAAATTAAATATAATATAGTCTTTCTTACGGCCCGATTACGTTTGCAGCCTTTTTTTATAACGAATTATCTAACCGTTTATTGTTTCATATCTTCAATATAAAAAGTAAATACAAAACGTTCAATTATTTCTGAAATTAATAGTTTCAAAAAGGTAACACATTAATAAATATATCTTGTGTACTAACTTTAGCAAAAAAAAATATATATATATCTTTTATTTTATTTTATTTTTATTTTTATTTTATTATTTTTTTACTTTAGTACGTTATAATCATAAATGAGTTATATGTCATTATTACCAATGAATCCATTTATAAGTGATGACTTTATAAAAACATCCTGACCATCATTTAAAAATTGTAATAAAAATTTGAAACTCGAATATAAATAACATGTGGTGTCACATCCTAACCGCATATGTTAATATACAACCAATCCAATTAAAAATTCGCGATCAACTTTTTAAGCTTTCGGACGGTAATTGTGTATCTAATAATACTAAATAATATTTACCTAATTAAGGAATCAAATTAATATCATTATTATTATTAAGTGGACATAATGTTTACCATTTTATATATATTATTAACGTATTAATGAAAAACAGCAACTTTATCCTCTTCTCGCTTCGATTTTTTTATTTCTCCGTTTATTATTTTTTTTCATTCCTTTTATTCCGTTAACGGTGTCCACAGTCCTTTTCTTCTCTAACTAAAAACAATTTAACCTATTTTATTCCACTTTTCATGAAAATTGGGCTGGACCCTTGAAACAATATTTAATAATTTTCCATTAAAAAAGAGAACTGGATTTTCCCCCAAAGATAAAATAAAATTTTTTTTTTCCATTATCCATTCTTAAAAAAAAAACATAATTACCTTTTAATGAACAAATCAAAAAGAAAATTATTAAATTAGAAAAGTATAAATAAAAAAAGAAGAAAAGAAAAAAAACAAAAACAAAATAATGGTTTTTGAATCGGACGCTATAGCATTTTACGCTTTTCACGTAACGTCACTGCCATTATCCCTATTACTATTTGTAATTTATAAAAATCATAAATATCATTCAACAATTGCTTATTTTGCGTTGACTCTCATCTTTTCTTCAATAAATTCGTGTTTTTTGGCATTTGCAAAAAATGGTGACATTAAAAATTCAGCAAATACATTGGCATGTGATATTCAAGCCTTCTTTATATCATATTTAAATTCATCGGCGGCCATATGGCCTGTTTGCATTCAATCTAATATGACATTAATTCTCTTAAAAAGACGAAAACAACAAAGTGGATGGGCAGGAAGACAAATATTGTTGAGTTTTATGGCTTTGGCTTGGGGTTTACCTATGTTTTTTACGATTGCTTCTTTCGTGTTGGCAGTTAGTGAAGAAGGACTGAAACCATGGTCATATTATTGTATGTTATCTGAACCTGCAATTGGACCGTAAGTATCACATCATCATATTTTTTCATGGAACAAAGTGTACAAGGACAGATAATTTGTGACGTGTCACATCAAAAATATTTTGTGAAATAAAACGGTTTCAAAATTTATTGCTAATTCTTTATTAACTTTATTAGTGCAATAGGAATCTATTTTGTGTCGTTGTGCGCTATTATAGTTACGATAATAATTTCAGGTATGTTCAATATTTTTTTAAAATATTTTATAATTTATCCAATCGTTTTTGCTGCGCCTCACTGATGATAATGTTCTATTGTGTAGCGTGGAATGTTAAACTTGTTTGTAATGAAACTGAAAATATTGAATTATCTAAAAGAATTATTACTTTTGGAATCATTGCAACATTACCTGTTTGTCTTGCCACAAGTAAGTACTAAATTTTAGGTTTTTGTTATTTATTGTAAGGGGTTTTTTTTTTTAAAATATGTTAATTTTTTTTTTAGTCGCACGATCATTTAATGTGATAATTTATAAAATCGTTGATGCTAATGGAACATGGCCCGATTTTTTACTTATTACGATCCCATATCTTACATTTAGTGAGTAATATAGTATTTATAACATAGAATTTTTGAATAAATAAATTAATCAAGATTTTCTTTTTATTTTAGTAATATTTGGTACAAGTTCCGAATTAATAAGCAAAATTTTGCCAAGTTCCTCTCCATGTAAGAGAAATCGTGGTGATAGCTTATTATTAAGATTTTCAATTGTAAATCCTACTTTAATAAGAAGAGAAACAATGGATGATAGAGAGCAACGTTTATCTTTAACATTAGCAATGAAAAAATCATCATTAGAAGAACAAGCAACATATCTATCAACACCGGGTCCATCAACATTCAGTCAACGTACCAATCCAAATGCTCCTGATCCATTTTCACACAGAAAAAATCCTTCATTAACAATAAATGTATCTCCAAATAATAATAATAATAATCGTACAAGTAAAGGAAAAAGAACATCTGTATCAATACGCCAATCATTTTTAGCTCGTGCTTTAAGTATTAATAAGGGACCTGACAATTCTTATTTAAGTTCGACAAAGACTGCAGAAAATAATAATATTAACTCTAGGAGTTTGCGAAAAGTTATGAAAACTATTAATCTACCTAAAAAGACTTATCGTCGAGGTAATAGATTTTCTAACATGTTAAGTAAGTTGTCAAAATGTTTTTTTACTTAATTTACTATTTTTCTCAACACGTGCTCGCAGCTGTATATAAATATTTAAAATTAATTTATTTTATTTTTTTAGATAATAATAGATCTGCGTTCTATTTTGATACGGCCGATGGAAAACCGAGATTTTTGAAGACATTTTCATTTGAAAATCGAAAGAGAACCGAATCTGTAATAGGGATTCCGCAAGAATACGTAGTTGATAACATCATTGATGTTCCAGAACTTCCAGATAAATATAAGAAAAATATAAGAAATTCAACTTATTACGCTGTAGAACGTGAAAATGAAATGAGAGAACGATTAGCGAGAAAAGAACAACTTCTTCATAAATATAATAAACCACCTCCGTTAGCATTAAAACAAAATAGATCTTTACCATCAAACCCAAAATCCCCAAGTTTTTTCTTTTTAAATCCAAATCATTATGATAATGATCAATATACTGATTTGCCAGTAACACCCTCATTCGGAACACCCTCATTCGGGGTAGCTTCGTCATCAAAGGCTCAGAACAGGTACAGTTTAAGTTCAAAGTCCAATAAATCTAATAATTCTATGAACTCTTCAAAATCCTCTCATGGTGGTGGAGGACTAAGACTTACACCAAGAAATAGCATACCTGTAAATATACTGAATAGAAAATCTTTAATTGATGCTTTACCTAGATGAGGATAATGCATAATAAAAAGACATTAAAAATAAGATAGGATTAAATTTTGGATTTTAAACTTGATAATATTTAGTTTAGTTAATAATAATAAGTTAATTAATATGCCTTATTTTCATAGATTTCATTCTGTACTTTATCAAAAAAGACTAATTTTTGTAATTTATACATATATATTATATATCTGTAAAATATATAAGGGGATTTTATTTTGGGAATAACGATAAAAGTAATTAATAGTGAATGAGTGTATTTTCGGGAAAAATCTGCTTGGAAATAATTTTTTTATAATTGTTGTTTAAGTAAATCGCTTGTGAATTTTTTGCCAGTTTGCCATAATGCATTAGTGCAACTCTAAAGTTTTACGACTGTTGATCAAAATAATCGAGCGAATCATAAAGGGTGGTCATTATTTTAATTTTCAAGATTTTGAGACTCCCCTTCTTAGAAAATGACGTCATTTCTTTAAAAATCCGAAAATTAGTTTTTTGTTATGACTTCGAGTATCTGTACAATCGTTACTTGTGTGAAAATTGTGAAAATCTAAATAGGTACATTCAATCACGTCATCGTACAGGATCTTAATTCTTTCTAGTATTCTATAGTACGACGAGTACGACACGCATTTTATAGCAGTAATGAGAAATGTGTTAAAATAAACAAATCTGTACAATCAATACAAATATTTGTATTCTAAAAAAGGATGTTGGTACGAAAAACTTTAATATAAAAAAAAGGGAGTTTTTCTCTTTTGTTTTAAAAAATAATTTTTTTTTAATTTATTATTTTATTATTATGACGGAACCTGAGAAACTTGATAATAATGATGATATTAAAGAAATAACGGAAACAACTGAAACAGCCATTAAAACTAATACTAATTTAACAGAAAATGATGGAACAATTACCGAGACAATGAAAAATATTGAGAAAGATGAATCAGATAATAATAATTTAGATGAAAAAAAATGCATTGAATTTTCTAAAAAATTACAAATTGGAGGTGAAAATATTTTAGTTGTTGAAAGCGAAAAATATATTATCAGCGGTGATTCAGCTCCGAATTGTTGTATAATTGGGTCACCAGAACATGTAAGATTAATTTTAATTTTATTTAATATTCAATTGTAAAACATTTATTTATTTCCTTAAATTAGGTAGCGGCACTCAAAGCAAAAGTTGATGAATTAAAAACAAATTTAGCTAAAGTTCAAGATGAACGTACACAAATGCAACAAGAACGCGCACAAATGGAAGCAGAAGCCCAAACAAAATCAGAACAAGTAGCTCAACAATTGGATAAACTCGCCACAGAACTTAAAGAATTAGGACAAAGTAGTGATGTAGATTCCGAACAAACAATTCATGCTACAGTACATACTTTTGGTCGAGTTCGTAAACTAGAAATCATAGCAGATGATGATGAAGATGAAGTTGATTATAATAGGTTATGGCGTATACCAAGAGTTAGGCAGTATTGGCATATAGATACTCTTCATAGAGAAGCTGGAGAAAGAGTTTCTAGTTTTGCTGAATTATTTTGGGATCTTATTTTCGTTGCTGTTGTACAAAATCTTGGTCATATATTAGTTGAAGATATTTCTTTTGGAACTATCTAAAGATTTATTATCACATTGTAAATTTATTAAGTTTTCTCTCAAGCTTTGTTAAGGACTTTTAACAAAGAAATGTGCTAACAATCTTTGCTTTTGCCTTTAGCTATCCTGTTTATCGTGTATGGTTAGACGTACATAATTATCTGAATGTTTACTCTTCAAAAGATATTTTGGAAAAATTTCTTCTTTTATGGGAGATTTGTTTAGTAATAATTATGGGTACTCACTCTTCAAATATTTTTGGAGACACTAGAGCCATATATGTTAGTAAGTTATTGCAAGTTCCTTTCCATATTTGTATTAATTTTTATTTTATGTACATACTAATGTCACTTATGTTAAATATTATAGTTTCCTATATTATCGCCAGACTTACATTTGTTTTGCAATATTTTTTATTGGCGAGTTGGATACCAATGTTTAGAATTTCTTTAATTACAAGCGCGTGGGGAATATTTATTCCTTGTGTACTTTGGGTTATTACTATATTTATTTCATCTGAAAAAGCAATTCCTTTATTGTGGAGTGCTATTGTGTTTGGTACGTGAAATACTATATTAATATTTATGTTATTAAATGGGATGATTATTTAGTTCCAATTTTGTAAAAAAATTAGAAATATTTTGGACGGCTTTTGTGCCAGTTTATAAAAGATATGGAGCAAAAAAACAAGCAAAAAAACAAGGAAGTGAAGATTTTGAAAGAGTTGATACAGCGACTTCTTTTACACCGCATAAAGCTATGAGAACAAGAGGAACCGAATATCAATGGAGATGGATTGAACTTTTTTCATTATTTAAAATTGTGGATTATAGACCTGCTATAAATATTGAACACTGGAGTGAAAGATTTGGTATTTTTGCTATCATTTGTTTAGGTGAAAGTGTAAGTCTAAAGTTTTGTTAATTTTTCTTTTTGAAAGAGAATTTGTTTGGAAAAATCAATTTTCAAACGAGAATAATATAATATATTCGTAGGTATTTGGAATTGTTTATTCTAGTTTGAATCCAAATCTTGATGCACAACTTGGAAAGGTAATTAAATTACTGTATGTAAATAGTATTAAGAATTTAAGATTAATTAATTGTTTCCTATTTTTTATAGTCGATATTAGCAGTTTTTATAGCCTATAATTTACATTGGATATATTTTGATGTGGATGCCAGTAAACAATTTTTACATGCTCTTAGAAGGCATGTAGTTACCGGTGTTTTATTTGGATTTGTTCATTTACCTTTGGTATATTAAAGATATGATAATATTTTATTTTAATAGTTTTTTTTCTTAATATTAATAATTATGTTTGATTATTTGTTTTTATAAAGAATATGTCTTTGATCGCATTTGGGTAAGTTTATCTGTAACTATTAAATTTAATTTAACCATACCAATAATAACTTACCTTATTTATTTCTATTTATAGTTCATCATTAAGAATTATAATCCAATTAAGAGATTTTCCAGGAGCAGAAAATATTCCATTACCTGGCGTACATGGTGTAGGAAAAGAAAATGAAGGACACGATGAAAAATTGAAAAGAGCTGTACCAGCAAGCACAGATTCCGCTTCAGAGTTTCCCGCATCTTTACGATGGTTATTTTGTGCATCATTGGCTATAACAATATATTGTATGGCTGCGATTGGAATACTACATAAAGGTTTAGATTCGGAGATTGATTTAAGAATTTCGAAGGTAATGAATGAACATGTATTTTTGTATTTTACTAAATTTATTTAGAATATTTTTTTATTAATATATTTTTTTATACAAATTATAGGGGTATAGGATTGCACTAAGAATGATTATAGCAACAATAATTGTATTTCTTCCATTATCAGAATTAACTTCATTAAATTTGGTGATAATAACATCAATGTTATCTTTAGTTTTGGTATCAGTAGAAACATATGGAAGATTAAGTAAGAATCAACCATTATTTGGCAAATGTGATGAAGATATTATTTCTAGTAAAGGAAGAAAATATGTTAGATGGAAATGGGGTCTTAATAATCTTAATCAAAAAGGTTGGACTACTGGTATATTAAAAAGAAGAAAGAAAAGTAATGGTGAAATTGTTGAAGAAAAAATTGATGACAATAATGATGATATTGTTAATGAAGAAACTAATGTTGGTATGACAAAAAAAGAAAATATGAAAAATTATAAATATAAAGATGAAAGTTGTCATATGCCTTGCACAAATTAAAAAAAAAAACTGAAAAAATTGAAAATATTTAATATGTATACTAATTTTATATAATGAATCTTATAAAACAATTATTATAAAAAATACTTAATATATTACTAATTTTTTTTTTATATTAATGTTGTATAATATATTGGTATTGTATATTATAAATAGGCATTTTAAATACTATAATCACTATAATCTTTTTTTATTATTCTAATAAAGTTATAGCTGATAGTGCAATCTATTTAATATATAAAAAAAAAAATTTTTATTTATTAATTACTGTAATAAATAATTAGTTTTTTGTAATATTTATTAATTAGATAATTTAATTTAAATAATGTATTTCTTTTTTCTGTTACAAATCATCTAGATAATCTATTACTATATAAAATATGAAATTTAGATAATATAATTTAAATTTAAAAATTTTTTACAGTATATATATAGTTTTTTTTTATATTATTTTTAAATGTATTTATTAATTGAATTTTAAATAGGTTTATAATCATCTAACATAAAAAATAGAGCTGTTTGCCTAAGAATGATATATTACAAATATGTATACCTATTGAATCAAATAAACCACTTATTATAAAATACAATATTGTATAACAAGTAGTTTGTAATTTAATTATATTAAAGTAGTTTTTTTGTAATTTTCTATTTTATTTTTACTTTAATAAAATCACAAATACACTGCAAAATTTTAAAGAAAATTAATTAAATTTTAAAATTATTATAATATATAATTTTAAAAGTACTTACAATAATAAATATTACTTTAAGACCATTTAAACATTTATTTAAAATTATATAATTTATGTTAAATAGTAAATAATGTAAATCTATATATATAGATAAATATTTTACTAATAAATTATTTTTATTAATTAGTTGTTAAAAGAAATATTACTTTAAATATTAATTTATTAAATTATTATTTAACTTTTATTATGATTTTTATTTATATTATACTTTACTAATATTACTAAATTTCTTAATGTATTGTATAATTCTTATATAAAAATATATATAAGGTATTTTATATTTAAAATTATTATATAATCTATTAGAATTATGCCAATTTTAATAAACCTTTATTTTGCTAATATACTAGTAAAAAAAATGAAATAAAAATATTGATTATATAAAAATAATTTTAAATAATATGCATAATATGCATAATAATAAAATTATTAAATAAAAAAATAATATATATCAGTTAACTTTATAAAGTATTAAATTGATATTTTATCTATAAAATAACTAATATAATTATTATCTTTTATTTAATAACTATACTAATATATATAATATAATATTTCTAATAATATATTTAAAATTAATTTATTTACAAATAATTGTAAAATATATAATTTTAATGTATTTTATATATATGTTGTGCCTCAGATCGATTCTTGCCTCAGATTGAAGCTCACGCACCTCAGTTTGAGATTGTCATCTGACGCATCTTAATTGCTAATAAAAATGAGCTATAATTAAACATCAAAATTTCCAATTTTAATGTATTTTTAAGTACTAAGTAAACTTATTTATCATTATTTTAAGTATACAATCCTATAATTTCAGATTAATTGGAATCATACTTATTAAATTTTTTCATTTGAAAAATGAAGATGTGTATAAGAGACAGCTTATTAAATTTTTTCATTTGAAAAATGACTTAAAATTTAATGATTTTTCAGATAAAACACAAATATAAACTTCAATATAAATCGGATTTACATAAAAATTTCAGGAAACATGTAACTCATTATGGTGCACAAGTTTGTTTATGTTACAAAAAGTGGTTTAATTAATGAGAAAAAAAGTTTACTTATAACAGACTTTATTGAATGATTCAAATGAGGTGCGTCAGGTGACAATCTCAATGTGAGGTGCGTGAGCTTCAATCTGAGGCAAGAATCGATCTGAGGCACAACATATATATATTTATATATATTAAATTTATAATTATAAAAAGTATATATATATATTATTAAATTAGTAATCAGTAATTGTAGAAAGATACAATACAATTTATTAAAATCATCTTATTAAGATAAATTGAATGGTAGTAGTTTCATCTTTTTATGATCACTGACTGATAAGATATTTAACAAAATGTTAAAAATCAGTATTTTAATATTACTTGATTTATATTTACTATACCACTAAATGTTTTGCTTAATTTTTCAATATCTAGTGATTGTAAAAAATGATTAATAGCTCTTTAAAATTGTTTAATCAGGACAAATCGAATGGTGATAAGATCATCTTTTTAGGCATAATAAATCATAACTTATTTAGTAATTTATCATTTTAACATTTTTTGTATAATTCATAATCTATTGTATCTAAAAAATGATCTTACCATTATCTTGATTATTAGACAATTCTAAAGAGTTATTAACTATGTTTTACAATTACTAAATATTGAGACATTAGGCAAAATGTCTAGTAGTATAGTAAACATAAATCAAGAAATATTAAAATGCCAATTTTTGACATTTTGTTAAATATTTTATCAACCAGTAATCATAAAAAGATGAAACTTAAAAGTAAGTATTTAGTAAAGTTATTAAATAATAACTGAATACTAGTATCAGCACACAAAAAGTTTTTAAAAAAATAATCTAGCAAAATTTGAATAGATTTTGTGCACTGATTAGCATTATGTAATGGATATAAGAACAAATAGGTAGTGTATTTTTAGTTTCAGATTAGCTTTAAGGTTTAATAAGAAAATTCTTATTTATAAGTACTACTAAAATCCCATTTTTTTATAATAAAGGTCACCATAAAAAATTGGTTCTTTACTAATAATTTTTAATTATTTTTTTTCTTAAATTCTATTAGTTACTAATTAGCTAAAAGCATATGGGCTGATTTGTTTACTTTGCATTAAAAAAAGTTATTAAATTGATTTTCATAATTTTTGTTACTTAAAATTGTTTTGTAATACCAAAAAATCATCTGATTGATAAGGGCAATGACAGATATTACCTAATATCAGTTTATTATAAGAGTTTACCCCCTCCCCCAGGTAAGATATATTATATATGTAATTTTCTTATATAGTATATATGTAACCTAAGATTTTCAATTACCCCCCTTCCCTCTAGAATATTAGGTAATATCTGTCACTGTCCTAATCACTTGACTAAATAATAAGTTGAACAAAAATTTACATTTGCGAAACTTAAATTATTAAATGTAAAAGAGCTGCTATTTCACTAATAAAAAACCCATTTCTCATATATATGGAATTTTTAACATATATTATTAAAAAGTAAGTATATTTTAATAGAATATAAAGTAAAATAAAAATTTATATAGTCTTAGTTAGTGATATCTAGCTAAACTCTTTTTGCCAAAAATTTTGGTTTCGTCACCAACTAGTTTCGGTTTCGTCATTGACTAATAAACTATATAGTAATATTTTTTAAGTTTAAATTTTATTTATATAAAATTATAATTTTATTATAAAAATATATTAAATTATATTATACATAAAATAGTTTTATAAATTCCTTTAAAAAATATTATATTTTAATATAAATTTATTATTATTTTTTTTTTATAAGTAATTATTATAATTAAAAATCCATGGAAATCTATAAAAAATCCATGGAAATACTATGGAATATTGAATTTTGGCATTTCGTCTTTTAATTTTAAATGTCTAAACTATTTCAGTTTAGTCAAATGACTAAATATTTTGGTTTCACCCAGGATCTCTAGTCTTAGTAGCTATAAATGTTTATAAAAATATAATAAAAATATCATATAAAAGATATATTTTCAAACAATAAGTATTAGTTATTTACTAATCTAGTAGTATATAAATGGATTATCATCTGAAGGATGATGGCCCATTTATAGTATACTAAACTAGATCAGTAAATAACTTTTTTATCATCTTAGATATACTAATTGATCCGCCAGTTTATAATTGGCAGAAAAAATCCTAAATACCAATTAGTAGCCAGGTGATAAAAATAATTATTTTATGTTGGGGTTTGTATTACTATCTTTAAATGCAAATATATCAAGATTTACTGATCTGTTTTCTATAATTTTAGGCTCATTAGAAAGCCCTTATTCTGGACTTTATAGGCGAAAAAAGAACTCGCCGATTGAATCATTAGATCTGGAGATATTTACAGTACGTTTAAAATTGAGATATGAACTTTTTAACATACTTAAATGCAAATATCTTGGGATTTACTGATCCATTTTTTATAAATTTAGGCTCTTCAGAAAGCCCTTGATCTGATCTATATGAACGAAAAAAGAGCTTGCCAATTGGATCACTGGATCTGGAGATATTTACGTTTTAAGTTGAGATACAAAGTTTTAATATATATAGTGAATGCTAAGAATTATATTAATTTAAAAGAAATATTTACCAAATTATAGTATAATAACATTAAATAAAAATTTTTTAATACTCATTCCTAATTTACTGTATATTATATAGTAGTATTTTGTATAATAAAAATGTAATAAAATCAATATTTTAATTAAAGGTAAACAAATCAGCCCATATGAAGGATAAAAATCATAACAATGTAAAATAAAATTTTCTTTTATAATAAGATCTGCAAAGAATTTTATATATAATTTTTACCTTAGGCTTAAAATGACTTATTACGAGATCCTATACTACTTGAGAAAAAATAAGTACTTAGTAGTTGCCTTTTAAGAATAATAGGATATTGGCTAAAATAAGTCTTATAAGAGATGTGAAGATGTTTGGCTATTAATTATGCAAAATAGAAAAATAAAACTACTATCATTCGATTTATCTCAATGAAATGATTCTAACAAGCTATGTTATATTTTTTTACAATTATTGGATACTGAGCAATTTATTATATTTTTTACATATTTGTAACTATAAACAGTACTTTTTAATATAAGATTTTTGAAAATAGGTATGATATTAACTAAAGATGCTGTCTGAAACTATTTTTCAGTTTCTGAAATCGAAACCGAAACTGAAACTAAACCCAAAACTATTCCAAAACTCCCGAAACTAGCCAAAACTCCTGAAACTAGCCCGAAACTCCCTAATTTTGGCCGAAATTAAAATTTGACCGAAATTATGATATTTTATCACGTGACGTTATACCAATTTCCTAAAAAGGAAATTATGTTTTCCAATAAAATTGGAAAATTAGGTACACAATGGTTACACAAAATTCCAAAAAAGGAAATTTTGATGTTGATCATTTTCTTGGCCAGAATTACGTCCCAAAAATGGCCAGGATTATATCAATAATTTCGGCCAAATTTTGAACTTTCAGTAATAATTTTGGCATTATAAATTTTGGATTAATTTTACCAGTTTCAGATTAGTTTTACCAGTTTCGGGTTAGTTTTACCAGTTTCAGGTTAGTTTTACCAGTTTCAGGTTAGTTTTACCAGTTTCAGGTTAGTTTTACCAGTTTCAGGTTAGTTTTACCAGTTTCGGGTTAGTTTTACCAGTTTCAGATTAGTTTTATCAGTTTTACCAGTTTTGGAAAATAAGAAAATTTCAGAAATAGTTTTACCAAGTTTCAGTTTTGACAGTTTCAGAAACTACTAAGTTTCAGGCAGTATCTTTAAATTGAAACCTACTTCAAATATGAATCATTCACTATTACTGCCATTTGTAATGATAGATGATCAAAATTTGGAAGTATCAATTGGAATTAAGCCAACTTTGGAACTGGAAAATGATTTAAATGAATTCTTTGAAATCGATAAAGAAATTTCTGATGCAATTAGTTAAGCATCTAAGCATACTACCAAAAGAATTGATGATGTTCTTGATTTATCAAACATTAAGAATGTTGATGATCAAATTCGGCAAACCCAAGTTATTTTATCTTTAGATAATATGGAAATAATTAATAATAAGCAACTTACTCATGGTATGAATTTTTCTTTTAATTATATTACTACATTATCAAAGTTTTTAATAGTATACTAGTGTTCACCTGTTGTCTACGACAACAGTTAATATGTAATTCTGGCCAGAATTAAAAGATCTGCAAAGAATTTCCTTTTTTGGAAATTTGAGCAACAATTTTTAATTTCTCTGAAAAGTAACAGAAGACAAAATTTCCTTTTTTGGAGATTTGTGTAACTGATAATTTCCTTTTATGGAATCCTGCGTAACTCAAAATTTTAGTTTTTCGCCAGAAATAAAATTTCCTTTTTTGGTCTTGTGTAACATTGGCGACAAATAGGAGTAGGGTTACACAATTCAAATGACTTATTTATATGGTTAATCTAAACATAACGCCCACGTGATTGCAGTGTTTTTTAATATATAGATTATTAAATATTAACATAATCATGAAAGATTCTTCTATTAGATATATTTTTCCAACAGGAGAGCTGAATTATTTGGTTATGATTAAATTACGAAGGGATCATGAAGCATATAATTCAAGACCAATTGAAAGACAAAATTGTGCATATATGATTGGTTATGAAAACACAAATACTATTAATCCAAATAAGGCTGGTCATATAATTTCACATCTTACGAATAATGATGATCTGGCAGTACAATTTATTAAACAATGTGAAAAGTGATAGAAAGAAAATTGGAAGGCAATGACAGCTAATCTTGCAAGTTTACATAAATTAGGCAAAGACAAACTAATAAAGTTACAAATAAAAGTAAATATAATATTAATCATGTAATTTATTTATATAATTTTTAATATTAATAATTTATTATTTAATTTAGTTATATGTGTTGAATTGGCAAATATTACTCAAGATTTTCCATTGCAACAAAGTGACTATGTAATTGCATTGTATGGGACAAAAATTTGTATTGCTAAAATAATAGCAATGTATTATGAAGGTTATGGTAACCATTTTTATAGCCAAAATGCAGTAACTCAAATTGAAGATTTGTCTTATATTTCATTACAAGTATATTTGCCCATTCATCTCAATATTTTTGCAAGTCAAACTGTTGAATGTTATACACTATTTACTCATTAGTGTTCTCAAAATATTATATATCATATTAATTTAAATGGAGTAATAATTGGTTATAGTTCACTAATTTTAACAGGAGTAGCACGTAGTATTTTTAATTATTTTAACTGTTATACTATTAAAAATAGCATTATTAATATGATACAATAATGTCAATTTGTCAATAAAGTAATAATATAAATAATTAAAATTAGCAAGAAATTTTTTTTAATTTTACGATGTCATAAAATAAATTGCTTAGTAGTGCAAAAAATTTTAATGTTACAATTTGAGTTTGCTTAGCAGAATGAAAATAATTTGCTTATTAATCTTAATAAATTTTAAAATTTTCATCTGACTTATATACAGTCAAAGCTCGTTATAGTAAACTTTTCGTTCCACTATATAATTTTTTCCCTTTTTTTCACTATAACGAGATTTATTAAGAAAATTCACTATATCGAGAGAAATTAATTATAAGGAAAAAAATCAATAGGTCACTATAACGCGATTTTACTTAATGTTCACTATAACGAGATTCACTATAACGAGCTTTGACTGTATATATTGTTCGGGGTCTTAATGAAGCACAGTATTTTATAAAATTACACAAGCTATAATATTACATGACAGTGATAATGTTGCATACGCAATGAATAAATTATCTCATATTTAAATACTTAAAAAAATAATAAATTACTAATATAATTTCTGCAACTATTATATTTTTAAACAAATTTAATATTTATATATTTTAAGAGTTAAAGGCTAAAATCTGGTATTATTAAAAAAAAATTTTTAATTAATAATACTATAGTAAAAATATTATTATATCTAAATATTTTTAATTTTAAAAAGACCTCGCTTAAGATTGCTTGCCGAAACTAGGAGGTTTTGGCGGGATGGCGTATGTGAAACTGCCGAAACTAGTTTCGCAAAATTGGTCTAAAATGTTGAAATGCCGTAACTGCTGAAACCTGCTGAAACTGTCTAAGCTGCCATAACTGTTTCAGCGTAGTACATCATATGATATACATATAGTTTCAGCAACATTATGAATTATGATTAATTTCAGCATGGATTTTTTTTTTGATGCAATGCCGTATTCAGCCGTATTGAATTTATATAGACGTAATTGCCGAAATTTGCTGAATTTATCGAATTATCAATGATTTACGCCAATCCGGTACAGGAAAGTTAGATTATCAGACAGATTGCGTAGTACAAATCATCTGATGATCTCTTTTTTCTTGTATTGAGGTTTCTGGACAAAAATTATGAGGTAAAGAACTAAGAAGGGTCCGGACAGGAAGTTTTTATTTAAAAAATGTAATAGTTTATTTTTCGTTTTATAGGGTTGCCAGACAAAAAGCACAACCGGACTTTTGAAGTAAGAAAAAACTGGAAAAGGGTCCATTTTAATAAATTTATTTATTTTTTCTTTATTGTAAGGTTGCCGGATGAAAAACATGACCGGACTTTGAAAATGAGGTAAGAAAGGGTTGAGGGAAAGATTTTTCATTGTTTTTTATTTTAATAAATTTAACTAATTTATTTTTTTCTTTTTTATAGTGTTGCCAGACGAAAAACATGACCGGACTTTAGAATTTAGGTAAAAGAGGGGGCTGAGAAAAGGTTTTTCGTTGTTTTTTTATTTAATAAATTTAACTTATTTATTTTTTTCTTTTTTGTAGTGTTTCTGGACGAAAAACATGACCGGACTTTAGAATTTAGGTAAAGAAGGGGGCTGAGGAAGATTTTTCGTTGTTTTTATATTTAATAAATTTCTTATTTATTTTTTTTTTTGTAGTATTGCTAGACGAAAAACATGTACGAATTTATAAATTAAAGTAAAGGAGGACCGGTGAAAGTTTTTCATTAATTTTTTCATAATTTATGAAAAACATGACCAGACTCTTAAAATTAAGGTGAGGGAGGGTCGGAGAAGGTGTTTTCATCATTTTTTTTTAATAAATTTAATTGATTTTTTTTTCTTTTTGTAGGATTGTCAGATGAAAAAATATGACCGGACTTTTGTAATCAAGGTAAAATACTGGGACAAGGGTTTCGTTATTTTTTTTTTTTGTTAAATTTAATTAATTTATTTTTTTTTTTTA